AATTATTTTTGTACTATTATAAAAGCTCATACACCTTACCTAGAACAGAAAATTAATCAGATATAAACAAAACTGTTAATAAAGAAAGTAACGGAAAGGAAATTCGTAAATATGTTTATTAGTTTATATCGCTCATCTGAACGAGTTGAACCAAATAAAGATAACACAGAAAATTTCCAAAAGACACCGAGTCGGACCATCATCAAGAGATACGTTGGTCGTATTTACCCTTTCATCTTTAGAATTTTTTTTTTAAATAATGTTTGTTATATTATTATTCTTAATTGTTTTTAAATACCACTTCATTTTCTTTTGACGTGTATATTTTGATAATAAATCTATTTTGTAACTTTTTACCAAAAAAAAATCTATCTTGTAACCAGAGATCGCAAAAGTTAATAAATGATTTAATATAAGAGACGGTAACAGATGATGGTTCCTTAAAATTACTATGCACATTCAAAACACACAATTTAAGTGTGTGTATTTTTTATCCAGTTAATAAGAAATTGGAAGTTTCATATGATATAAATCCTATATGTTATTGGATTTATGAATGAAAAATATTTGAAAAGGTAAGGTTGAAATTTAAAACAATAACCACAGTGATAGTTACAAAGATTAATATAGTACAAATATATAATTCAATGCCCAATCAAAATAAGTCTTCGTTTGCCAAATTTAAAGGTTGATTGGGTTTCGAATACACTTAGGACCACTAATTATAAAAATAATTATTACTATTATTTTGTTCTACCCGAGATATGGGAGAATATATCTAACATGGGCATCTATTTTTATTTTTTTAAAATGTATTTGTAACGATTCACTTTTTTTCTAATGAGCATGAATTTGATTTTTTTTTTTTTGAGCAAACTTGAATTTGATATAAAGTATCAAAAACATCGAATTATTCTGCATAGGATGGATGAAAATGGTTCTACATCTTCAAAAAGATTTGTTTGGCCCAATGCAACTTCGTTATTTAAATTGTTTAATATTTGGTACGATGCGCCAATAAGATTTTCTATACCAAAACATTAATTGAGAGATTCAAATTCCATTTTCGAAAGTAATTTGTTTAGAGGCAAAACCCATTCCGCACCCAAACAACAAATATATTAACAATAAAAACTATAGGTACGACCACAAAGTAATAGAGCAGTATCGAATTCTATTCCATGCATACTCTAGATTTATTCAAATCTTTTTTATTTTATATTTCTAAATGAATGTACCGATTATTTGTACCATCTTTCAAACATACTTTTAATTCACGTACTAATTATCTTTTGTTACATAACCAATACGTGCGATTGTTGGGTTCCCGTGAACGCAGTACTTTAAAGAAGGCGTTGTGTTAACAAAGATATCTATGAATTTATCTGTACAAGAAGACATTCAAAGCTTACTAACAAGATTATACATGAACTATTTTATACAAAGTATTAGGTTTTACGAATGGGGACGTAAAATAATTCATATGTGTAGTGTTTACTTTTCCCTTTTTGGAACAGATTTTCAACTTAGTTTTCCTTTTGTTTTGAACTGAGACATGATTTTTTCTTCCCATCACTTATTACAACTCCAGAATATGCTCATAAGATCAGTAAGAACAAAAACTATATGTCATCAGCTATTTTCATATATATTAATCTCTTCGAAATTTATTTTGTTTTATTTTTCATAGACCTTAGATATTTTTACTTTCATGTTTTCATCTAATCAACAATCGATCATTATGTAAAATCTATAATAGTATCTGTGTAGTTTGTAAATTTAGAGTATTTACGATCTCATTCTATATTCTATTCTAAAGTAAACAAAAATAAAAATACTACTCTTTTTATTGAGTAATTTTTTTTGTGTTTATCGTTTTATTTTTCATTATATTTTAGACTAAAATGTGAGGGAGATTGGAAATGTTCTTAGTACTAAATAATTTTTTTTAATAGTTCTAATTGATAAAAGTAGTATGAAACCAATAGCCGCTAGGGCATGCAAAAAATAGCTTGCAACACAAAACATAGTGACATAAACTGAAATCCTAACTCTTTCTTGTTTGATTGTAGATTTTCCTAGAAGTTAAGATGGCTATTTCCCCTAAAATAAAGAGAAGTTTGGTATTTGAAAATAACAGAAGGTGGACCTCTAATTAATGAATCAATTTGTTGACAAAAAAATGAATCAATTTAAAATGGAAAGCAACAGTGGAACAACTGTAAGATTCTCTCTACGTGTTAAAATAATACCCAATGTTTTTACAAGTTGCACCTCCCACCTTTTTTTATTTAACTACATTTTTCAGACAGATCTTTAATATTTAAAATTTCTTAAATTGTTTTCAAGAACTTATAATTTTATTCGTCTTTCACCAGGCACATATGCCCCCCCGACGCGTGTCTACATAATATTTTTTTGCTAGTTCTTAATTCAATATTTTTTTTGTTTTACATGTTCGACGACATCGAGGTGAATTTATTTATCTATTTGCGTAACTATTATTCTTTGCTGGCACAACAAAAAACTAATATATATTTTTAGCAGACGAAAATTCGGGTAGACTTTGTAAAGGCAATATATATATATATATATATATATATATATATATATATTAGAGATATGTTGAATCGAAAGACAATATATGTATCTTACGGATTAAGATTATACAATTCACGAAAAATCTAAAAGTTAAGAGAAAAAATTTTAAAATCAAGTTATTCTCTCGAAATTTATTAGTATATTTATATAGTTGTTTAAGAAAATTAGCATTATCTAGTATTAACATTATGTTAATGCTATATATAAATATACATTTTGTATTCTCATATTAAATAATGGTAATCTATAATATTAATACTAAGTAATATTAATTTTCCTAAACACTTAACATAAATATGTTAAAAATGTCTTGAGAGTAGTTTGGTCTTCAAATATTTTCTTTTAGTCTTTAGAGCTTTTATGGATTTGATTGATTTCATAATCATGATCTATAAGATAGCTATTATCTCTCTAATAATCTGAAGAAATTTGACCTCATTTTAAAGTTATATAAAAAACAAACTGAAGTTCGAAATATTTTAATTCAAAGAATCACGATCGGTCTGCAACTGGAATCTATATATAAATTGAGTAATACCCTGATAAGTGTATAAGAAAATGGAATACGTTTCGAATCATATGATGATATGAAAAAAATATATCGTAAACCCCCAAAAAATCGCACTTACTACGAAAGTATCTTCGTTTAGTTTTATATACATATAGAGACTCCTGCTAAATTTGTGGATTAATCACTTGTAGTGTTTAATGACTATCCATGTTTTAATTAAAAATAGACGAGTTCAATTTCATTTTTAGAGCGTGCTCATACATGTGTATAAAGACATATGGAAATTTTCATTATATCATTAAAAAGCCAATATTTGATATATTTTTATATTTTATAAATGTTTTTTTTGTCCATCAAATTTGAGATTCATTGAAAAGTTTTACGCCGAAGGACTATTCAGTCTCAACAAGGCCTGGAGAAAGCCATATGATCCCCTTTGTTTTATGGGCAAGTGACATTAAGCCCATGTTACAAAAGTTTTCGGCTTCTCCGTTGGCTCGTGACAAAAGTTCTCCACGATCGAGGACTCTACTGGATTATTGTTCTTCTTTGGCAAGGCCGGTGCAAGTAGTCACGTTATTTTTTTTTTTATTTTTTTTTAGTCACGTTATTTTACCATGGGTTATTCTTGTATATTTTTTTTTTGAACGGAAATTCTTGTATATACTCTATCAAAATATGTAACCTTTTCCCTATATGTCGTTATATTTTCTTAAAATCTTAGGGTCACATGCAAGTGCGGTGCAGGTTAGAATTGATTTTGGGGTTTTAAGAATTTAGACAAAACAAGTTTATGAAACTTAATAGATTACGGTTCAGTTTTGTTCCCTTTTAGGTGATGTTTTTGCTTGTTTGAGTATTCCAAGTTTGGTTTATCCAAGATGCCACTGTATCCAAGTATAAAGTGTGAAATGAAAATAGATAGAAAAATAGTAAGAATTTCCACATATTTTGAAATATAGGAAGCGGGCATTGCATAACTTTTCTTTTATGGCAGTGTTGATAATATGGACTCATATGGGGATCCTAGGGATTTGGTCTATAAATGTCATGTGGTCTAAAGATTCTCCAACCAACTTTAGTATACCCGTTTGAATCTACAGTGACGTTTGATAATTAAAGTAGTAGGGTTTGACGGTTTGTTATTCGATTTTACGTACTTGGTAGCTTTACACCAAACTCTGGATGAATTTTAACCAAATGCTGCTGAATTGTGCAATTTAATCAGTGCAAAATGTGTTGTCTCCCTCGATTCTCACTGGTAAACTAAAGAATGCACTATCACACATCACTTGAATCTAACTATAGTGTTTAATAAGTACTCGACATTTTTTTTTATATTACCAATAGTAATGTGTAAGTGACTTTGCGTGAACTTCTACCCAAACAACTTTATATTTAAGGATGTACAACCCTAATTATATTTTTTTCTTAGGACTAATGACTTATGAAACATCAGACATGCCACACAACAACAATATAATGAAGATATAAACGATTCTAGCTGATGAATTCATTTTAAATATATCTTAGCTTGTGGATAGTGAGAAATTAGCAGAGATGTGAAAATTGTAGTTGAAACATAGACAGTACAAAAGCAAGGATCAGTGTCAGAAGAGTAATATTTAGTTACTTGAATCTAAAGTCACTTCTACTCTCTTTCAAATCTGAACATTTCCTAGTATTCTGCAAACATGTCAGGATCAGTAGGGTCACACCACCCCAACTGCGACCAAAATCTTCAAAGTAGAGTGGCATCCCTTTAAATTGTCCAAAAGATAAGGGTGTTTGAGTCATTCTATACCTTCACAACTTTTACTAATCAGCTAGAGAGTATTAAAGCCCTTCCTATAACCAAATATTTTCTAACAAGAGAGATAGATAGAACATGTCAGTGCCACTCAAATTAGCGTCTTCCATGTCTTCTTCATCTTTGCCAACATCAAGCTCAGTGAAACTCAAGTCCATAATCCAAACTCTCATCATCTCTCAAGTTTGTCGACTAATCCGTGAAATCTCAAGAGCTTCGTCAATTCTTGCTAGAGTCTTGAGGAAGAAGCAATACAATCTCTTGTCAATGTCTTGTTCATTCTATCCAAAGAGAGCCTCAAAGAAACAAAAGAATAATATATTATTCGGCTCCTTTAGACTTCACTACAACTTTTGCTCTTCTCATGTGGTTCCTGTCTCTGCCCCGGTGCGTCTCCCTGAGGAACTCTACTTGGCTCATCTCCAATACGACTCTACTTGGGAGTCAATGCATTCCACTGAGTCTATGGATGATGATGAAATTCAAGAACCATCTCAGCTGTCTAGCTATCTAAAGCAGCTAGAGGATGATAAAGCTAAAGATGGCAAAGAAGAAGAGGGGAAAGAGATGAAGATGATGAATGAGATTGATAAACTAGCTGATATGTTTATAGCATATAGTCATGAGAAGTTCATGTTGGAGAAGGTTGATTCGTATAGGAGATTCCAAGAAATGATGAATACTAGCAGTTGATGATGATGATGATGGATGGGTCCATTTGCATCTTTCATTTCTTTTTATGTAATTTCACTTTTTTCCTTCTTCCTTTTGTTTTATTTTGAGTTACTTCGTGTTATCTGGAAATGTATTGGAAGCATAGGGATGGATTGTGTGGTGTTTGTCGTGTTACAATATATGGTTGATGATGGTGGTGGTTTAGCAAAATATAACTAGAATAGACCATCCAAAAAGGAAATCAATGGATGAGAGAATATGGTTATTTGTTTTTTTTTGTTACTTTGGCTTTTGTGTGTGTCTTCTTTTGCTATTGTTGTTTGCTTCTGATATACAAAAGAGGACCAGAAGATTTTGGAATTTTATATTTAATGATCTGACTTTTCTATGCATGCTCCGATTTGATCTCACTTGAAAATATTGTTTTATAATTATATATCCACCTATCATTTATGCAACGGGTCTGGCTGAATATAAAGAGATTCTACAGACTACAGTCTATACTCGGATGAGACCAAACAAAAAACAGGTAACCAGAAAAATAGAAACAAACCTAAATTAGATGATTGATTCTACTATGTTTTGGCTAGAACAATTACAAAAGAAACTCGTTTGGGTAAGATTTCAAACGTAGCAGTATTGGGCCTAAAAGGCCTAAGTTATCATGCTGATAGGCCCAAAAGTAATTAAACACGAACGGGGTCTTGTCTTTAAAAATAATAAACAGGCGCTTAAGACCAAACTAGTTAATCTCAACTTGAACTTCCCAGTTATAGATCTTCTCTCTCTCTCTCTCTTTAATCGCACGCTGTGCCCCAACACAATACACTCACTGCACTTCCACCTTTGAAAGATCGATCAATCTCTATCGACAGCAAAAGCTTTTCTTACAACAAAACTGTTTTTTTTTTCTTTTGTCAAATTAATATCTCTTTAGAATCCCTACGATTTACATTGCCTATCACTCGCACGTCGGAGATCCCATCTGCCCCCTTTACTGCCTCTCCGTTTGCGAGTCAATTTGTGATCTTTTCTCGAAAGCATTCTGAGGAAGTGAGTCAATTTGTATGTCAATATCTTTAACCTTTCGTAATCGCTAATTAGCTCGAACGATTTGTTTCTTTTCTGCGTTTTATAGCTTTCTTGGATCATTGGGAGATCTAACAGTTTTAGGGTTTGATTCATCACTGGAGTTTTGAATTGAGTTTCTTTGTTAGGGTTTAATCAGTGAGGATAATAAGTGTGTTTTTATTACATGACAGGAAAAGGCTTTGAGAAAGAAGGGGGCAGTTTTCATTTAGATGACAAGTGTTGTGCTGCTAGGTTTTATCGCGTGATATCAAACGACAAGAGTGGTTATGGAAGTGCAGATTCATATACTTGAGCAAGAAGCTTATTGTGCTGTGTTAAGGGCTTTTAAAGCTCAGTCTGATGCAATCTCTTGGGTAAGTGTGTCACTTCTCTCCTTTGCTTTGAAAAATTTAATCATCAGATACCAATAAGAAAGGATTTGTTTATCTGATTAGGAAAAAGAGAGCATGATAACAGAGCTACGTAAAGAACTGAGAGTATCTGATGATGAACACCGAGAACTGTTGAGCAGTGTCCATAATGACGACATTATCAAAACGATAAGGTTAAGAAGCTTCAAAGCTAATGTCCTTACATGTGCTTCCGATGTATCTTTATAACATTAAAGCTGTAATGATGAAACTGGACCAACAGGGACTGGAGACAGGGAGGTGGAAACCAAGTTGTTAGGCACGCAAATAATCAGTCCCTCGATGTTCTTCCTAGTCCAGCTTTCTCAGCTTCTCGGAAGAAGCAGAAGACGTTCCAATCTGTAAGAGTTATGTTTTTTAATCTTCATAGAACAGTAAGATCATATCTGTATTGGAATATAATCTTGGTTATTTCCTAAAAAGTTTGTGATGTGCATGCAGTATCCATCGATTGGTTCTACTAGGAGTAGGTCATTCAGTAACCATGTAGTAGTGTCTGGTGCCGTATCAGCTAATGAACCTGCGGAAGCTCTTATTGGAAGAAAAGTGTGGACTAAATGGCCTGAAGACAACAGCTTTTATGAAGCAGTAGTTACACAATACAATGCAGTTGAGGTAACTTCCTATGCCTGAGACTTTTACATGGAGAGACTGATCAATTGAATAGATCTAGTCGGATGTTCAAACATCGTGATCCTCAATTTTTTTTTAACTTATGGGAAAGTAGTTGTGTGCCTCTTACGTAAATATTACACTCAAGTCTCTATCTAAGCTGTTTTTAGCTGAAAATCAATATAAACTCCACTATTTTGGATTAGTGTGATAATAAGCCCTGTGGAGCATTGTAATTACCATAGGTGGTTCGTAGTGGATTGTAATTACTCTAGCTCAGCTAAACAAGGTGATTGAGGTTTAGGTAGAATGAGTTGGGGTATTCTGGAACTTGGTTTGGGAATTTGTTGAGAGTTTAGAGACTTCTCTGGCTAATCAGAGAGGTACATATATGAGTCTTAGAAAATTATACTTTTTTTTTGCTTGAATTCTCTAAAAGTTTGAAATGTTTTTCTTGTTGCGTATTAACATTAACACGGCATCTGTATCATATAAAGTAATTCAATCATTGTTATCTAACAGGGTCGCCATGCGTTGGTGTATGACATAAACACAACGAATGAAACATGGGAATGGGTTGATCTTAAGGAGGTAATCTTGAAATGTAATATGATTCCACTCCTGCAGAATCTAAGGACGTTATTATTTATATGATTTGCAGATTCCACCGCAAGATATAAAATGGGGTGGAGAGGAGAATGGGGCAGCTTTACATGGCGGTGGAATGACTCATGGGAGTAGAAGAACGTTAAGCAATGGTGGTCTAGGGAGAGTTCCACTAACTCAGCCAAGAAGAGACCATCTAGTAGTAGCACAAAATGGTGGTAGGAGGAAATTTTTCGATGAGATCGAACTGTTCAACACAGACTCACTTGTGAAAGAGGTAGGTATCTCTCTCTGTCTCTATTTTCTGGACGGGTTATAACTTTTTTCTTAAGTGTTTTTTTTGTGGTGCATTAGGTGGAGAGAGTTTTTGATTCTAACCTTCCTGACCCGCACGAGCTTGACAAGGCCAAAAAGCTACTCAAGGTCAGAGACAGTGACAAGAACTCTTTCTCTAAGATAAGTAATCAAAGAAACGGTTAAGTGAAACTTGGTTGGTTTTATTGGATGATGCAGGAACATGAACAGGCGCTTATATCTGCTATTGCAAGGCTTGCGGATGCTTCTGATTTCGAAAGCGGTAAGAAACATGAACGGATACCATTGTATGACATAATCCCATTTTCTCATCGTTTCCAACCTGTGAATGAGTTTATTACCTATTCAAATCACCTTGATGTTTATCAAAACGACTCAATATATCTCTGGTTTTATGCTCTGCTTCATTGCAAGACTTTTGTTTTATCTTTGTTTTTTTTTGTGTGTGTTGCTGCTGAATCAGATGGAGAAGAAGAGTATATGCATGAGGTTCCAATGCATGAGGGATAACAGTGTATAAGGAAAGAGATTCACCCATCAACCAACCTTTAGCACATTGACCTGCAAAATCTACGATGAAGTTTCTGCAAAGATGAAAACATTTAGTATGTGGTTTCAAAATGTAATGAAAATAAATCGTTAGCAATTCTTTTTGTAAAAACACATTAATTCTTTTCTCAAATTTCTTAATAATTAATTTGTGTGACAATCAGGCCTAGTCATCAAGGTTTGGCCTCTATGTTTTATCTTGGTTGTTGATAAATTTTGAAACTTGCGTAGATTTCATGATAAACGGGCCGAAAGCACTACAAACAAAATCCTAACACGTGTGGACATTCGAACTGATCTACCTCTACGTACACGTGCATGACAAAGAGCTCACACAAAACCTACCACCTTTTGTTTCCTGACACCTCTCGCTTACGTGTTGCCAAAGCGTAATTAATAATACTCACAGCTACCTCAAATAGTGCCACGTGGCTTTGGCAATGCCTATTTTATGCCCACCGAGCAGAACACTGAACAAAACACGACGAATTGTAAGTTTTTGTAACATCTTTGAATTTCACTAAGGAAGTTGGAAACAAAATGCAGTCGATGAAGGAAACAGCGTCAAACATCGCAGCTTCTGCGAAGTCTGGCATGGACAAGACCAAAGCCACCTTGGGGGAGAAGGTAGGTTTATTAATTGTCTTTTCGTTTAATCAAAAATGATTTTCTTTTGATTAATAATGGTTTATATTGAATTTGTTTTTTTTTCAAAAAAAGGCGGAGAAGATGACAACACGAGACCCTATTCAGAAACAAATGGCTACACAGAAGAAAGAAGGAAGAATCAACGAGGCTGAGATGCAAAAGAGAGAAGCGTGTGAGCACAACGCTGCCATGAAAGAAGCCAGTGGAGCTGGAACCGGAACTGGTCTAGGACTGGGGTCTGCCACTCACTCAACCACAGGACAAGTCGGACACGGAACTGGGACCCATCAGATGTCGGCTTTACCTGGTCACGGGACGGGACAACCAACGGGTCAAGTTGTGGAGGGTACAGCTGTGACTGAACCAATAGGAACGAACACAGGAACTGGTAGGACCACCGCTCATAACACCCACGTCGGTGGTGGCACTGGCACAACGGGGTATGGAACCGGTGGAGGATATACTGGTTAAGACGTTTTTCTCAGTTTGCTATGTTCTTGTTAACTCCATAAGTTTTCTTGTTTTGTGTGTTAATGTTTTTTTTTTTCGGTCCTAGCTTTATTTTCTCCTAAGTGACCGTAGGACTTTGTGTTTTCGTGTGGGTTCTACTCTTTTTAATCAAGTTTTGTGAGATAATCAATGGTTCAATATTAACTTCTGATTACCACTGATCCCAACAAAACATGTAAGTAACGAAGATGAAAGAACTTAACATATTAAAATAACTGAGATGTGACCAATGTAAATCATATAAGTAATTACACAAGGGCATTTACATAAATTATAGTTTAACTATTGAAAGAAATCACTCAAAAATAAAATCAGTGTGTGGTTGCCACACTCAAGCTCCTCTATGTGACGGAGATAAAAATAAATTAATTAAGTAATAACTAATCTTAACTCGAAGTAATCTAAATGGATATTCCTCTTAACTAATTCAGAGTAAACCCCATAATATGATAAGTTACTTTCAATCATTACTCGAGCAGAGCATGAATCGGATCGAAAAAATAAATTAACAATGAAATTAAAAGCAGGATTTGGATTTTTGCTTTTAAACAAATCAAATAATTTACGTGAGATCCACTTGCAAATTCACGTCAACGATTTCTAGATTACATTACATGAAATATGAATATAAAACTAGAAAAAAAAACAATTTCATGAGAAGGTATATACTCACTCAAAAACCTTAAAATAAAACAAGCTTTCCCTATTCATTGCTTGTTATCTCTACACCTGCTTCAGCTTCGATTCACTGGCAAATGAGAGATGTTGTCCTCGTTGGCGAGATTGACGCTTTTTTGTTTAAGACCGGTACGACGTTACACCCTTATGGGAAGGGACGATGAAGATGATCATGACGACATGGACGGTGACTCGCTCCTTTGGTCTAGGGAACTCCAGAGGCATTCTTTTGGTGATTTCTCCATGGCTGTCGTGCAAGCTAATGAGGTCATTGAGGATCATTGCCAAGTTGAGACTGGGAAAGGAGTTATATTCGTCGGAGTTTACGATGGACACGGTGGTCCCGAAGCTTCTAGATACATCTCTGACCACCTCTTTGGCCATTTGATGAGTTAGTGTTTTTTTTTTCTCACCTTGCGTTGATGTTTTGGTCTGAATCACTGTTCTTGAAGTCAAAACAAGAACTCCTCCCTAATGAACAGATTTTTTGGCAGATTTTCGTTGACTTTGTATTTCTGTTTATTTATTTAATTTATAATCGCATTGTCTGTTGGCCACTTTTATTACACTTTTGTCTGAAAGAAAAGGTTCATTGGCTGTTTCTTGATCAAAACGTTTCCACTTGTAGGAGTTTCGAGAGGACGTGGAGTCATAACAGAGGAAACTCTTAGGGCTGCGTTTTCTGCAACCGAGCGAGGGTTCCTCACGCTTGTTCGAAGGACACGTGGATTGAAACCGTTGATTGCAGCGGCTGGATCTTGCTGTCTTGTCGGAGTTATATGGGAAGGGACCTTGTTTGTCGCTAATGTTGGTGATTCCCGCGCTGTGCTTGGCTCCATGAGTAATAACAGTAGGTCAAACAATATCGTAGCTGAGCAACTGACAAGTGATCACAATGCTGCTATGGAAGAAGTCAGACAAGAGCTTAAGTCATTACATCCGGATGATTCTCGTATCGTTGTCCAAAAACAAGGTGTGTGGCGCGTCAAAGGCATCATTCAGGTTTGCAAGACTTTTCTTACCTCAGCTTTAGGGATGTTAAAATAGGTTTCCTATCGGGTTTTAAATGATTTTTAATATAAATAAATGTTTATGTAGACCCATTTAGATTGATATATTTTAAATGGGTAGTTCTAGGCAAGCTCAAACTTTAAAAGGCGATGATTTTATGATTTATATGGTGCAGATATCTAGATCAATAGGGGATGCGTACTTGAAAAACCGAGATTTCTCCCTTGGTCCATCTTTTCCACGGTTCCATCTCCCTGAAGGGCTAAAAAGACCGGTTCTATCAGCAGAGCCTTGTGTCTACACAAGAGTCTTACAAACAAGTGATAAGTTTGTGATATTTGCATCAGATGGACTGTGGGAACACATGAGTAACCAGCAAGCTGTAGAGATAGTGCATAAACATCCTCGTCATGTACGTGATTTAAATAGAGATATTCATAATATTAACTTTGTGTTTGGGGATCTCACTGATGTCAATAAACACAGGGAATAGCGAGAAGGCTGGTGAGAAGAGCAATGAACATAGCAGCGAAGAAGAGAGGGATTATGTATGATGATTTAAAGAAAGTGGAGAGAGGAGTGAGGAGATTCTTTCATGATGATATAACTGTGGTTGTGATATTCATAGACAGTGAGTTTCTTATGGTGGAGAAGGCTACTGTTCCTGGACTCTCCATTAAAGGCTTCTCTCATACCGTTGGACCTTCCAAGTTCAGTCTCTTTTTCTCTTAAAAGAAAGTGTGCTTTTATTATTTTACTCTCATAGTTACAACATGTAGTTGATAAATACTCCAAATATACTTTCATATGATATTTTTTTTCAAATGCATGAATTGGAAAGTGTGATTCCAAAATATACTTTCATATTACGTTTTACAAACATGATACATGTGACCTCTAATCTTATGAAAAAATGGCTTATGAGAAGAAGAAGAAAAAAGGAAAAAGAAAGAAAAGGAAATTAGTGTTTCGTGCACCAAAAATGAACCAGGCAAGGAAAAGACAACGATAGAGTAACCAAAGTCGAAGAGTTGAGAAGACAAAGAAGCAGAGAGTATGGAGAAAATCCCTTGATTTCAAAATGTCGTAGTCTTCTTATTATCGCATCTCTTATCCATGTTTCCACAGGATTGTCATCCTTCCACACACCAACCAATCGGGAATTCTCAAGGTCAAAGTTCTCCAAGGAATTTACGAAACCCGAGACAAACCTTTTGAAGTTGTCATAGCTTTGGAACTGAGATGTTTGGACATTGATTGTGGGATATGTTTTCCACATGTTTTTCCATTTCTTGAAGACTTAGCTTGTGTGTACATATTCTTGAATGGGAATGAAAGATAATACTTTTATTGGAAGATCACTTGATAGCTTGCTAATAGGACAAACAACATCTAAATCCTGAATCTGTTTGTCATGTTCATAGCTGCTCTCCCCATGCTTAAAACATTTTTTAGGGTGTGATGTGGTTGCTCCCTGTCACGTTTCTTCCTTGTGTCACAGTGTTCATGTTGCCTTTTCATTTCACTGCTTCTCTTCCCCTGATCATGGCAAATGGTTTAATTAACGAGTTCATCATAAGAGTTAATACAAAAGAAATTGTCTTGATCTAATTAACAATGGAATTTAACAAAACTGAGGCTCGATAAAGCCAATAATGGTAGCAAAGTCCACAGGAAAACATCTAAACTAACTCTACCAAAAACTATTTTGCTGTGTGCATTACCCTAAAAATAGAATCGTTGTGAAATTAGGGGCCATTAAGTTTGCAGGTTCTATTCTCTATAAGAAAACCTCCACCCAAGATCAGAAGATTCTCACGCAAAACTTCCAAAGAAATCAAATTAAGCACGGAAACAGAGTAATCGCCCTTGAAATTAGAAACCATTTATGTAAAATCGGTTAGAATATACCTGGGATTTCGAGTCAAGGCTTTGACGGTAGTCATCACAATCATATTTAACACGTCTTCTTCTATCTCCGCTGTGACGGCTTTAGTAATTTCGTTCTCCCTCAACTTCCTTGGTATTCTCCAACTTTCTGTCACTCCTCTGCATATGCACACAAAGTGACCGATCGTTTTAGAAATCAGAAACGCTTTATGTAAAATCGGGTAGAAGATGTGAAAGTATCCGTGACTTCAAGTCGCAGCTTTTACGGTAGCCGTCATCACGTCTTCTTCTATCACTGTGACAGTTTCGGTAATATCGCTCTCAGAACCGTGCTTCCTTCATGCCAAAAGAAGCATTGACCTAGGGCATCACTTTGAACGATAACACTTTTTAATTGGTAAAACTGAAAATAACATTTAATAATATGTATTTACTTGATTACTAACTTAACTGATAAAAATATCAATATGAGAGCTCTTAAAACGATTTGCTAACCTTACAAAAATAATTAGCATAACAAAAAAAAACATAACAATATTGCCGAATTACTATCGATTTCAAAAATTGAATATTTTATATAGACAAAGCTTTTCATCTCACTTTTTCTCACCAATCATTATAATTAACTTCCTTTCAATTGCTTTATTATTTAGTTTTATTTGTTTGAATAGTTTTATATGGTTTGTTTAATCGTGAATAATGATCATAATCTTATATACTGATAGAATATGTTAGTTTAGATTGCATTTACTGGAAATAAATTTTCAAAACTGAAATTGATAAAATCGTTTTAATCTTGATTTTTTTTCTATACTTTTGAATTCGATACACAAGAGAAAAAAACTAAGACAATAGTGTTTAGATTTTTAGAGGGGCTATTAATGTGAAGCTTTACATTTAAGAAACCTTGTTTTGCCCAAAAAAAAAAAAAAAAAAAACTAAACTGAATGCGCATTATCGAAATTATAAGTTGGCCCATTATCAACACTAATAAAGCCCAATAAGACGTTTCATTTTTTGTCGCCGGCAGTTACGTTACTATTCCCGGAGAGAGGAGAGGCGGGAGTACATCATCAGCTGCAGACGGTGCCGGAAACTTACTAAGAATTCGTACCACGCGTCTCTAGGACGTCGGAAACTTAATAAACATGTAGTTAATATATACTCCAAAATATACTCATATTATATTATATATATTTTTTCAAATGCATGAATTGAAAAGTGTGATTCCAAAATACACTTCTTAGATAAATAGGAAAATAAAATGAGTTCCTTACTGAACAAACAGATTAGTATCACCGACCAGTTAGCTCAGTAAGCGAATCGATCTGACTCCCTGTAAGAGAGTAGTCAACGTCACTAAACGATGGAGGCATGGCTGGCCAGACAAAAGCTGGTCTCTCTGTAGGCACATCTGGTGGGCTAGTCTCACCCGTCAACACCATCAAAACCGTTCTCATGGACGGTCTTTGGTTCGGGTTCGGGTGGCAACAAGCTAGTCCCAAGAGCAGAACACTCTTCATCTCTTCTTCATTAAACGAACTTCCCATTCTCGGATCAGCTGCATCCATAATGTTTCCATTTCTATACAGCTCCCATAGCCAGTTTACAATGCTATTATTGTAATTGCTCTGGTTCTCCTTGTCCAACACGTAACTAGGTTTCTTCCCCGAGACTACTTCAAGCATTAGAACTCCGAAAGCGTAGACATCTGTTTCAACAGTTGCTCTCCCGTTGAGGAAAGTCTCTGGAGCCATGTAACCAGGTGTTCCAGCGATCTCCTTTGTTGAATGGTGTGTCATCTCGCTTTGTTGAATCATCCTTGCAAGCCCGAAATCACCGAGCTTCGCGTTGAAATCGGAGTCTAGCATCACGTTGCTTGCTTTGATGTCTCTGTGAAGTATCCTCTTGTCACATCCGTTGTGAAGATACTCCAAAGCTTGAGTTAATCCTCTTATAACATTCTTCCTTGTCTCCCAAGTTAGGTTAGATCTTGACTTTCCTTGCAAAGAAAGATACCTATCCAAGCTTCCGTTAGGCATGTACTCATAAACAAGAAGATACTCTTTTCTCTCGTAGCACCATCCCAATAGCTTCACCAGGTTCCTATGATTCAAATTACCGATCGTTGTGATCTCAGATATGAACTCTTGCTTCCCTTGATGAGATTTTTCAGACACCCGTTTCACAGCTATGTCTCTACCTTCCCACTTCCCCTTAAACACCATCCCAAACCCTCCTTGTCCTAGTTTGTTATCATGGCTGAAGTTCCCTGTTGCTCTCTTCAGCTCTCTCAGCTTGAACTTCTGCGGGTTCGTCGCGCAGTTATCTAGCTCAGCTTCTATATCAGGGTTTGTTTCCCCTGCTCTTGACCTAGATCTCAAGAACAAAAACCCTAAGAAAGCTCCTATTACAACAACACACACAACAGGGACAAGAATCCAAAGCCATAACATTTTCTCATCTCCATCTAACTCCAAACCTTCAAACCTCCAAGATCGGACACAGTTAAGCTCTGTGAAACTGCTTGTTGATGCCGTGAATCCCACGTAAACCGTGTCCGGAAGAGAGGCAGAGAGATCTATAGCCCTAGAGAACATTAGGTTCCGTTGGTCATATACCTCCGAGTTGTTACTTGAGACATAAACCGATAGATTCTTACCATCATACCGCACATGTGCGGTAACGTCATGACCAGAATCGATCTCGATCCCTCGACCGCTCAAGGACTCTTGAACAACAGAGTTGATGTTGTTCACGTTTAGAGCCACATGGTTTCCATCAAGATCATCTTTATGACTCTTCCTTGTGTCGAACTCAACCGCAACGATCTTTGACCCGAGAGTTCTGTTTGTGGTTTCGTTGACTAGACCTAGCCACATACCTGAGCTGTTCTGAGGAGCGGCTGTCTCCGGTGTGAGAACAAAGGCTAAGCCTTCGCCTCCAGGGTTTGTTTGGTTGGAGATGTTGATAACGAAAGTGGTGGTGAAAGTAGCTTTCTTCTTGTCTTTGCTCCATAGCTTGAAAGGCTTCTTGTAGAGCGCGCGGCCTGAATGGTTCGTGAGGGAGCCACGGATGTCAGGAGTGACTTGGATCGCTCCGAGGACGATGTATGAGTTGTCTCGGATCAAGTCTGAATCGTTGCTTTCTTCAAACGTAGGGAAATTGAACTCCAAGCATTTCACTTGTGTCTGGATCTTACAAGCTATAGTCAGAGTTAAGAACAGGAGCTTGAAGGCTAGAGAGTTTTTCATTTTGTGAGTGTTTTTGAGTTCAGAGCTCCAGATTAGCAAAAATAAAACATTTGTGATATTTTAAATGGAGCTTCATCGTCAAGCACCATACATTAATTCTACTCATAATGATGGACTAAAAATAAATAGATTCAACTTTTCAACAATATATATTATGTTACCTTTTCTTTTCGATCTTTTACTAATTTCAACAATAACAAAAGATATCTCTTTCTGCAAATGTTGATTGTCTTGGCCGCATTTTGGTAACTATGACAATAAATTTGACCTGACCCTATTTTTTATTGTTGATTATTGTGGTACATTTTCAAACAAAATCGTTGAAATTAGTAAACTCATGTTATTGGATAAGTGTGAAGGGTTGTACCAAAAAAAAAGGATAAGTGTGAAGTTGAAATCTGGTATTATTAAAAAATAAAAAAGGTTTTGACAAATTCTCAAGAACTTTTCTAACCAAAGAAAATACAAAAGGTCAAATCCTAGAGGTAAAATTTGCGACTCTTACTGAAGTTTGGATATTTAAAATTACAAATTTATGTGTAACTAGCTAAGTATTATATGGTTATAAATTGGTAAAAGAAATTAAAATATTACATATTTCTAGATCAAATTATTTGATCTAAAACCAATTTCCAAATAGGAGAACATTTAAGATTTTTGCTTGTTAGTAGAAATTCTTCAGTATTTGTAAAAATGGTTTAGTCCAAGAAACTCATTTACGGGATACCTTGAATACAAATTTATTCAGAAAACCATATATGTGATAACATATGATTTCGTACTGTGGCTGTGTTTGATCAACATAAATCCCATATATATTAAAGGAGAAACATTACAACATTTTTCATAATCACGTGTCATCACCACAATCATTCTTAGAATCCTTAAAAAAATACGTTGGTCCATCTAAATATATACTAAAGTTTTTATTAAACTAATCATAAATGACTTATTAATGTTTTTCATTTTTTCTTTAAATAAAGATAATGGAATTGCCAAATATGGTTAAAGAATATATGACAATTAATGATTTTTAATAATAAAGATTTGATAAAAAATAGTGTAGTTTTTAAATTTTAACTTATTAAAATAAATTAAACAACTACATTAAAAAAATTTCATATATGAACGAATATAAATGACTAAATGTTTTACAAAATCTCCCATTAAATTTTTTGTGATCCATGGTTAAATTTTTTTTAAGAATAAAATATAAATAATTACAAAATTATATAAGTAGGAAGTCTCATTTAATATATATATATATATATATATTGTTCCAAATAAATTATGTTCCATATAAAAATATATATGTATTTTAATTTCTAATTTGCTTTGATTTTTTTTTGATAAAAAGTTTGAACAAGTATTGACAATTTAAAATTTATTTTTAAACTTTGCATAATGTTTTAAAATTATAAATTACCACAAAAATGTTAAACATCCCACACAAAAAAATTATTATCAGTGCTTTGAAATTTCTCTTATAAAAATATAAAAATGAACAAAAAAATAATAGGAGTATAAACTATAATTTAACCGATATCAATATTAAAAATGTATTATATTTCTACGATAATATCATTTAAACTTAATTGTATATTATATAAAATAGAAAAAAAATCTGTTTAAATTAATAAAAAAATATTTATATGTTTACACCAATTTAATTATATAGATAATAGTTACTGAATTTTTGATTATCAATATATATTTATTATTTTATAATATGTAAAAAAATATATAACACGTAAAATAATGTATATAAAATATTTATTATGCGTAGGGGCGGATCCTAATTTAGTATATTAATGAATGGGAAATTGGATTCTATAGCATAAAAAAAAATTATAATTAACTAAATGACTCTTTAACCTAATATGCTAGGATACACCGTATATTTTCTATAATAATACCTCTATACCCTCACAAGTAACCGGCTTAGACTTGAGAGATTTAAAAAAAAAAAAAAACCTTTTTACATTTTACTCATTTATGTCGTGGCTTCTTCATCTTCAACCAACGTTAAAGGTTACTTTTAGTAATCAGTTTCAGATCTGTGGAGCACATTGACGCCAACCACTTTGTTCCTAGTGAAGGGTTTTAGTAGATTCAGAAGCGGCGTAGTCTAATATCTACTCGCATTATCCGCCGCGTTTGTCATGGAATTTATGGGCTCTCGTCACTGACTTCGGCAAGGATTTTGATGACGGTTAGAAAATGAATAAAATTGACTGAGGTTAGTCTTTTAGTTTCTGTTAAATTCCCCGATTATACCTTCCAATGAGATTGCATGTCACAATCTGGTTATGTAAGGAACTGGGCCTCCAAGTTTGTGGCTTTAATGTTGTATAGTATGGTTGTTTCTATTCATATCCATGACATAGTATTGATTTCTAATTGCATAGTTTAGAACCGATCCATGTTTATTTGCATTGGTTGTTGTGTGTTTCTCTTTGTATCTCTGTGTGGGTTTACTTTCATGTAGAATAGTTTCTTCTATTACATCTTCATGTTATTTTATAGCTATGCTATCTTGGTTTTAGTTGTAAATATAGTAGCCGATACTTATTTTGACATATAATGGACCCAGAAATAGTACAAACTGTAATCAAATAATATGAATCTAAAGCATGTATATATGTATCGTTGTTGTCCTTCTCAGGTTCTTTGTTAACTAATTTACAAGTCCACTCCATAGTTTATTTCTATTCTATTTTTAGTAGTATGATGTTCTATATTCTATTACAAAATTATGTTCAAATATACAGAAATAGACTGTTGTTTTTCATTATATTCCATGTAGAATAGACTATCTTTGTCTGTACACACGGAATTGACTTGTTTCTGAATATCTTCATACGGAATAGCCTTGTTTCCACTGCCATGAATTCAAGTATCATAGACGCTACACATTGTAGCCTTCTCTATAGAGTGTAAGTAATACTAAGTATATTTTATCACTTATATCATATTCTGTAATATGTTCTTCATTGTTCTGTCGTTTTTGATGACTGGATTCTATACAACTAACTTAATACAGATGTT